TTTAACCACTTGCCCTCCAGAGGATTTACCCCCCTTCCTGACCAGGCCATTTTTTGTTACTTCAACTGACAATTGTGCAGTCATGCAACGCTGCACCCAAATGAAATTTACATCCTATTTTTTCTCAGGAATCAAGCTTTCTTTCGGTGCTATTTGATCACCTGTGCAATTTTTTTTTTTTTTTGCGCTATAAAAAAAAAAGACTGACAATTTTGAGAAAAAAAAACTACTATATTTTTTGACTTTTTGCTATTAACCATGTCCAGTAAAAAAAATGACATTTCATCATAAATTTAGGCCAAAATGTATTTTGCTAAAATGCCTTTGCTAAAAAAAATCCAAATATGTGTAAATTAATTGGTTTATGTGAAAGTTATAGTGTCTACAAATGGGCGTGTGTATATATATACTGGAATTTAAAAATACATTTTTTTTATATTAGTAATGGTGGCGATCAGATAACGGGACTGCGGGACTGCAGCAAGCATTGTGACACTGAGGGGAACTGACTTGGTGTCACTGACATCCCCAGTGACACCAATACAGTGATCAGTAATGGCAGCAATCAACAAATAGCGGGTCTGCGGCAGGCATTCTGACACTAACTGACACTGGTGTCACTGACACCATTACAGTGGGCTAATAAAAACATGACAATGTACTAATGACACTGTGCAGGAAGGGTTAACATGTGGGGTGATCAAAGGGTTAACTGTGTGCTGTTTAACTGTGTGCTGCTTGCCCCCTACCCGAAACTGCGAAATCACGTATATATATACGTGATTTTGCGCACCAGTGCCGCTCTGTAGCAGTACTTCTACTATAGGGCGGACCTAATACATCCTCATCAAGGGCTAACCCCAGCCTATGATTGCAGCAGCACACTGATGAAGTCATCCCTTTTCTCTGATCTCTGCATATTTAGAGACAGCACTGTGGAAAGCAATAGAGCCCAAATAAAGAGAGCTGGCCAGTCTGTGTGCAGATCTGGGTACTTACGTTTAAGTTTAACAATACATAGTCGAGGGCTTACCCTTGCCTGTGATTGGGCGATGAAGGAGCAGCACACTGATGAATTCATCCCTCTGCTCTGATCTCGGCATATTGAGAGACAGAATTGTGGAAAGCAATAGAGCCCAAATAAAGAAAGAGTGCTGGCTCTCCCTCTGCCAGTCTGTGTGCAGATCAGGGTACTTGTATGAAATACATTTAATGCCATTTTTAAATCTTGAGTTCAGCTACAGGGCTCTTGCACATGGGCGTACAGTCATACAAAGTAACATATGCCTGTTGTTGTGGCACGTGGAACCCATAGCTGCAGCATAGCTGACCAAATGCCCACTGAGATGCATTATAGAATCTGCTGTGTGAGGCTATATGTGCACACATAAAAGTGTATTTTTCAAACTGTAAATGTTTACTTTGTGCAGTTGTATGCCCTACCATGTGGCTGTGTGCAAGAGCCCTAAATTGTGTCTAGTCAAACCGTTTTTAGTTTTGGGGAGAGTAGGGAGGGATAAAACCTCTGTATAGTTTTCTGTTCCTAGGCAAATACAGTTTTCTGAGCCTAGGCAAATTCACTCCTCTAATTGTCCTAAAGACTATTGTCACCTGGGATGGAATCTAACATTTTACAGTGGTCATCAGGAAGTGGAGGAAAATTGGACCCACACTACAAAACCGATGTTTATAAACTGGAACGAATTCACCTAACACGAGGGAAAGTGTAATTAAGATGGTTTTAGGGGTGCAATGGGCTTTAAATATAAATGCTGATGGTTACAAAAGGTCTTTCAACAAGCTTGGTCCTCCTAGACCAGGGGTGCTCAATCTGTGGCTCACAGAGCCCTCTGATGTGGCCCTCAACCTCAAACTGATTGCAGGAGTTTTGGTACACTTTCAGAAAGTGCACCACACTGGCAAGATATAATAGAAGTCTATGGCAAAGAGCAGCTAACCCGCAGGAAAGCCGCAAGTGCACTGTGCACTAAACCGCAGCCCGTCAGTGTGAAAGCAGTCTTATAGGGGACTCAGGGCAGTAAGGACTCATTGATATTTGCTGTTTCGGAGACAGTAAAACCCCATGGTTGAGATTTATTTTTACCATACCCCCCAACCACTGGTGTAGCGTCAGGGGTTGCAATGGTTACAAATGGAGAAACAGAAAAAGGGGCGCACCGACCTAGTGCATTATCGTTTAAAATAACGCATTTCGAGGACACAACCTCTTCCTCAGAGCCAACCTCTGGCTCTGAGGAAGAGGTTGTGTCCTCGAAATCCGTTAGCCAGTTGGTCATCCAGGGTTCCATCGTATGGACTCAGATGTTGTTTGGATCATACATCTTGTTCAGTTTGACATGCCTGTGTTATTATGTCCATTGTGAGTATGATACCTATTTTTGTTTCTTTAATAAATTATTTTAAACGATAATGCACTAGGTCGGTGTGCCCTTTTTCTGTTTCTCCATTTGTATCCAGTGTATTCGGACCACCCCGGTCTGTTGAGGGCAGCAAGCAGTGCATATTTCAGAAAATTCCAGAACATTCCTATTGGGTCTACTGAGTCCTTTCCTAGCGCAGGAGTAAAGTGTTTGTTGTGTTGCAATGGTGACCATGCCCCATGCTCCATGGAGCCCATGTGGCCTCCCTGTCACATTCTGTTTTACACTCGGACACGAGGGGTAGTGCAAACCAATACAGGCTGGCTTCTCCTTCTCTCCCTCCCACCGGCATTCTTCAGCTACAGGAGGAAAAAATGTTCCTTATGCTATTCAAAATTTATTTTAAAAAATTTAAATTTCTGAACCATTTCATTTCATTGTGGCCCCCAATGAGTCACCAAATCACTTAAGTGGTCCTCCATCTTCAACAGGTTGAGCACCCATGCCCTAGACCTATTCTTGTTCCAAACACTGGCCCATCAGAATATTTCCTTACATAGTGAGAACATAGATGGAGCTTACAAAAGAAGTGAACAGAATCATTTTTGGTTATCTATGTTCTTTAAATTAATTTGTTTACATATTTATTATTATTTTAATAGGGACTGTGTTAATTTATACAAGTATAAAAGATATACTAAAGTCCAATAGACCATGCACTTTGCAAAGTGCAGTTGCACTCATTTTCCTTAGTAAATGTGATGTGCTAAAGCTTCACTTTGTAAAGAATAACCAATCAAGGGAAAAAAAAAATGAAAAAAAAAGTTTTGCATATAATTAGATGAAGGAAATCAGCAGAGCTTTACCACATTTACTAAACCCTGGGGAAAAATGAGTGCAAATGCACTTTCAAAGTGCACAGTCTATTTGCCTTTAGTAAATCCACCCCACTGCGACAACTGGCAAGCTCGCCCCTCCTATTAGCTGACCTCAGACACACCAAGCTGTGTAACTTAGAAAGCCCCTGCTTTCCATAGGCCCCCCGGCCTATGGCAGTGCAGGAGTGGACTGAGAAATTTTGTGATAGGGAGTAGATGCAACCAGCCTGTCCATAGTAGGGATAGATTTGTGAAGGCTAAGTAAAATGTACCATAGTGCCTCATTGAGTGGTGGACATGGTCATAGGAGGCTATTCCTAAAAGACGTTGTTTATAGTAAAAAAATGTTTTCACATCTCCCGGCATCAGCTTCCATTTGTGGCTTTCTGCAGTTATTCACATGACGTCTTGGAGCTGCAAAGGAAGCTGATACTGTTAAGACTCATATACATTTACAGTTAGGAAGGGGGGAGTGGTAAAAACACGCTATGATGCGTTTCTAATACCCACAAATGCCCCCCCCCCCAAGCCACAAAGGCAGCCGAGTGAACAGATGCTGCAAAAAGGATCTCCCCTGATGGGGCTGCACCAAAAATGCCCTACAACCATATGCAATGCACATGGTTGCACTGTGGTGGTGCAGCATGAGTTAAAACAGGCAGTGAGAAGGTGACATAGCTCCTCCGTCAACCTCCTCTGAAAAGCAATCCACCACAGATGACTTTGCAGAGGAGAGGCAAGCTCTACTGCTAGTGTAAACTTAGCCTAAGACTATCCTCTTCCAGACTTTGTTATTGCAGGTCTGAACAAGGTAGCCACATAAGGCCCACTATGCGTCAATGACTACAGGTCCCAATCTGACTGACCGTTTGAATAATAAAGCATCTCAACTCAGAGCCAAGGGCGGACTGACCATTTAGGCATTCGGGCACTGCTCGAGGGCCCGGGGTCAGTAGGGGGTCCCATGAGATTCCCCTGGTACCTTTCATAGTCTTTTTTGACTGTGGGCATGGACACAGGGGCCCCATGTTTTCCTATTGCCCGGGGGCCCCTTGAGTTGTCAGTCCGCTCTTGCTCAGAGCCACCAGACTATTTATCCTATTAGCACAGGCCAGGGGCAAATGCCCACCCTGGGATCAATACTACCCTGGGACAGGGCTATTGCTAGATTATTTTGCACCCTAGGCAAGACCAGCCACTTGCACTCCCCCCCCCCCAAAAAAACTTCACCTGTAGTTCCACTCCACCCCTCCTAGCAAACACCCTCTTTCCCCTCAAATTCTCCACCCCAAACACAAATCCTTTCCCCCAACCCCCCCCCCCCCCAGCATAAATCCCCTCAATCCTGCCTCCTAACACAAATTCACCTAAATCCCTCCTAGCACAATTCCCTCCAAATTACCCTTCCCAGCACAAATCCTTTCTCCCTATCCAATCATCCCTCCCAGCACAATCCCCCCCAATCCTCCTCTCCTACAACAAACCCCCCTCTCCTAGCACACATTCCCACCCAATCCCTTCTCCTAGCACAACCCCCCCCCCCCTTCAATTCCCTCTTCTAGTAAAATTTCCCCCAAATCCCCCTCCTAACACAAATCTCCCCATACCCATCCCCTCTCCGAGCACAAATCCCCCCCCCCCCCCCAGCCAAAAGGCCCCAACCCCCCCCCTAGGTCTGGCCATGTCGGAGAGTAGGGAAACCAGTGGCAGTGGCTGCGCCCTAGGCTGCCACCTAGTTTGCCTAGTGGTAGCACCTGCCCTGGGGTAACAGACATACACAACAACACATACTAATATAATACACAACTGTGTGCCAGTACAAGACTGTGTTACCTCGTCGGTGCTGTTTCCTCCTCTGGCAGATGTTAATACATTTATTACACACCCACATGAGACAGACTAGAACTGCCGACCCAGCAGCCAGGAACGCTATGAACACCGCCACAAAATAAAACTCCTCATAGCGAATCTCTGGAAGGAGAGACAGATATGTGTAAGAGACACAATAGGCAGTAAATTGAGGATTGTCTAAAAGAATCATCAGAAATTGAGGGACAGCTTCTACCATGGACATTGAGGATGATTGTACTCTGTTTGACGTTGCCAATTTCATCGCTCAGGGTGATCATGTAGAACCCAGAATCTCTGACCTCCACGTTCAGGAGCTGTATGGAGCCATTGTCGTAGTTGTGAACACGCCCGCTGTAACCACTGGAGATGTTGACGTAAGAGTTCATCTTCCACTCTATGATGCATTGTGACTTCCAGCTGGACATGAACTGCCACTGAATCCACGGTGTTCCATTACAGGTGTGGTCGACGGACAGGAGTACATTCTGCATCACTGTGGCATTTATGATGGGCTCTGGGATGAGCAACATGATCCCTTTGCCTGAAGAAGAAAATATTCAGGACATTTAACTTTTTTTATATTCTGTTCACAAACATCGACTCAAATGCTTCAGGTCTAACCTTGCATTATGTTGGCCTTATAAATAATGCTAAGTAATTGATTGATTACAGATTAGAGTAACCATTCTCAATCAGGGTTCTGTGGAACTCTAGGGTTCCTCCAGAGGTTGCTAGGGATTCCTTGAGATGTGGTTGGTGGACTTCTCATCTGAAGGTCTCTACATAGTTGCAGGGCTAATGCCACTTGGTGGAGACAATACAATGAATTCAGCTACCAGTACTCCTTGCTCCTGTGTATCCTGTATTCCTTGGACCTCCTGTTACCAACCCGGCTTGTCTCTGGACCTTCCTGCTGTCTGACTCCTGGCTCTAACCCTGGCCCTCTAAAGGGCTCTGCTTCTCCTGCCTTACCGTGTATGACTCTGGCCTGTTACCTGACTACTATTTAGCATGCTTCATCTGATTCCTGTATATCACCTTGGCTACTGTTCTTGACCACGCTTCAGCCCTCTCTCTGGCCTGTCTCTCCGTGTATGACTATGGCTTTTATCCTGACTATGCCTCTTCAGCCCGGCCCTGCCAGTCTGACCACATTTCTGCCTCGGGTGCCATCTTGCTTGTGGCTGCTTCCTTGGTCCTGCTGCATCTCCAAGGGCAACAGAGATCCTACCATCAGTCCTGACAGACCAGCTGACAGCTATCTGCTGGACTCTGCTGCAAGCAACCTCCAGCAGAGCTGCTTAAATGGCACCTGTGCTTCTTTAAACTTAGCACTCCCTGTTCTTGCCTTCAGGGGTGCTCAGCCATGAGGGAAGCCCTGTCATCAAGTCAGCGTCAGACCAGGTATGTGACTGTGATCTTTCTGGTTGAATCAGGTCGTAGGGAGAACATTGCAGTCACTTAATATCCTCCTAAATCTCTTGTGAAGTCACTCCTACTATGTGACTCTATTACTATAGAGAAATGGTGTACCCAAAACCCTCCATATGATGGTGTCCAAACAGTGGCCCACTTTTAAGGTATTAAAGTGTTTCTTTGGTGGGTTCATACCCTTGAGGCCTTGGATTATACAATCCCACCCTGGATAACATTTAGAATTGCTCTGATCAATGTTCATTAAAACATTTTTTTGTAAATATTATTATGATAATTGGTTTAAATATTTTTAATTCACTATTGTGTGTATATTATCATTCATTTTTGTATCTTTATTAGAAATTCCTTCTATGTCTATGCCCCCTGAAGAAGATACAAAATGGAGTGATCGAAGCGAGTCAGAGTTATCTCCCTTCCTTTGGGAGTTATTCTTCATATTTAGGAGGAAATATTTTTGTGGTATTGTCTGAGTTTATTGTGTGAAAAAAGTCTATCACAATATTGCTGATGTGCTGTAAACAATTGTGTACTTTTTGTAAGGATGTTTATGGAATGAACCATGTATTTTTTAACAAAAGTCCTTTTATGTATATGTATCATGGTTGCTGCATGAAAGTCCCCCATGGGGGTGTTCATTTGTGTATTTGATTTTGGGATGAGCAGCTAGATCCTCGACCCTTTAGTTATGATTAAAGTGTTTCTAAAGGCATTATTTAAATTAAACTAACAAACATGTTTTTACTTACCTGCCCTGTGCAGTACTATTGCCTGAGCATCCTCTTCTGGGGTCCCCCACCAGCGCTGTCTTCTCCTCTTCTGTGTCTGCCTCCATAGCAAGCCGGTTGCTATGGGGGCAGATGTGTGAGCTTGTTCCCGAGCTGTAGGTCCATACAGGGGCGGACTGACCATTTGGAAACTCGGGCACTGCCCGAGGGCCGGGGTCAGTAGGGGGCCCCCATGAGATGCCCCTGGTACCTTTTTCATAGGCTTTTTTGAGTTTGGGCAAGGACACAGGGGCCCCATGATCCCCTATTGCCCGGGGGCCCCATGAGTTGTCAGTCCACCCCTGGGTCCATAGACACACACACTCCGCCCGCCCCCTGCTCCGCCCCCTGCTCTCTGCTCACAGGATTTTGTTGACAGCAGCAGGAGCCAATGTGAGAAGAGAAAGACAGAGGAGAAGGCCTGCAGATGGGAACAGCACTGGATTGATACAGGACTTCGGTAAGTGTTTGGGCACAGCAAGTGGCAAAACATTTTTTCACCCTAATGCGTTTTCTGCATTAAGATAAAAACATTGTAGCTTTAGAAACACTTAAAGTCTTTTAGGTGAAAGCAAACATTTCTTATATCACAGCTTACCAATTCTTAGATGTGATGACTACATTCATTTCCTTTTTTCTGCTTTCTTTCTTTTGTTTTTTACCTAGTGATCCTGCCAGTAAGTCTGCTGTTTTTCAATAGAACAAGCTCTCCTGCAAAGGTAGCAGTTACAGGGCTGAGAAAAACCATTTCCTACTGTCAGGGGTGCTTACAATAATCCACACTTATTTCTTCATGTTAAACTTTTATCCTTAAAAGGAAAAAATGGTTTGCTATAACTGTTTATAAAATATTAACTGGAGTTCAGCTTTGATATGTTAGTGTATCTAAATCTGCTAGTACATCTAACACTCCCCTCCCCTCAGACTAATAATGCTGCTTTCCAAAGGTGTCTCTGTTGCTCCTCCATCCAGACTGAGGGCGCTCTAATACAGGGGGTGTGTTACTTGCCAGATCGCCAGGTGAAAACAGAGGGAAAAAAGCCTAAAAAAAGAAAACTAATGCAGCCACCACATCTGAGGACTGGAAAGCTGCAATATATTACATTTTTAGTTTTGGGTTTAAATGGCCTCATGTCCAGGAAGCTGTAGAAGCACTGTTTTGCCCATCATGATTGGCCAGACTGGATTGACGTAGCTCCAGCATACACTGTACAAAAGCGGTAAGGATCCTTTATTAAAGAAAAGTCATAATACGTCATAGTATGTCCCTCTACAATAAAAAGCCCTCATGTTCACACATGTTCAGTTCCACTTTAAAATATTACTTGGCCTACAAACAACATTGTGTTCTTTTTTTTCAAAGAGAGGGGCTTTATTGAAAGACTTGATCCAAATCATACAAGACCTGATGAAAGGTATCCGAGCATCCTAAGATACTATGCAGCTGCAATATTGACCAACCTAGAGAGATGCATGAGAACTCTACTCTACAGAGAGACCTGTCACCCAGATCTACTCTCACACCACCTTATCCTTTTTCTAAACAAATTGCGTGTGTTAAATGATTTTATATGGTAGAAATATGTCCCTAAATTCAGGGCCGTGGATAAAGGGGTACCACCAGCCCTTCTGTATGGGGCCCAGGCCAGCAGGGGGGCCCAGGCAGCTGGGTGAATTGGAAGTGGGCAGAGAGGGTGATCAGCACAAAGGGGGGCAATTATTGGAATCGATCCTCTGTTTGGCTCTCTCTGCAACATCTGAAAGCTGGATTCTTCTCCTCTCCCTCCCGCTGGCTTTCAGAGACAGCCATACAGGGGATCGGTTCCAGTAATTGCCCCCCCTCCCGCCCACAATGGCAATCACCCTCCCTCTGCACATTTGATTCACCAAGCTGCCTGGGCCCCTACAGTGCCAGCTTCTCTCCTCTCCTTCCAGATGCAAGCACACAATAGGATCCTTCAGGATGGAGAGTGGCATAACAGTCCGAATAATATGTCACATTAACCAGTCCATTCCTTTCCTGAATGAACACAATGAGTGCTCAGTATTGATCACTCATGATGTTTATTCATAACAAGCATAGTAAACTGTGTTTTGTTTTTTTTTTAAGGGGGCCCTGTCAGGTTGGTTGTATAGGGCCCCGTTGTTTCTAACAGCAGCCCTGACTAAATCATAGTCATGTGCAGGGGTGGACTGACCATTTGGAAACTCGGGCACTGCCTGAGGGCCCAGGGTCAGTAGGGGGCCCCATGAGATGCCCCTGGTACCTTTTTCATAGGCTTTTTTTGAGTTTGGGCAAGGACACAGGGGCCCCATGATCCCCTATTGCCTGGGGGCCCCATGAGTTGTCAGTCCGCTCCTGGTCATGTAATGTGTCTTGTCCTCCTCTTCCATCGTCTTCCTTACAGTTTCCTATTGGTTATCCAATGGCAGAGCACTATGAAGATTATAGTGACTGATGTCAAGAGGAGGGGACTGGTAACTGGATCAGCCATTTGTGACTCTGGGACACAGTGCCAGCAAGGGACATGGACCTGGACTTAGGTGAATATTAAAAAGGCTTCACAAGCCATCTTTTTCTGAACAAATTGGTGAATGGGTAAGAGAAGAGTAGTACGGAAAAGTAGATCCGCTTTCTGCTTTGCCTGCAGATGGGCTTAAATAACACTTATTTCTGGAGGTTCTATAATTGTGTCTATTTAGGAGAACACAAAATTAAGCCATTTGAAGTGGAGATAGAATACCAATTCATGAATATTTAAGTATAGTTTCCTTCCTGTCTACAAATTGCTCTGACCCCCATGTAATGGAAATGAAGATTTAGTTTCAAGTTGCTTAACAGGACATGTGTCCACTCAATGAAGTTGGATGAGAAATGCTTTACCTTAAACTGTGTACGGGGTTCTTTAATGGCAGAGCTTGTTGTCAGGGACCGACTGACAGAAGCCTCTAGCACCCCACAGGCCGATGTGAAGAGGTGAATTAAGCGTAGTCAGACAGGACGGGTCGGGAACGGTGGAGGCAGAACGGTACAGAGCGGCAGGCAGAGGGATAAACGGGTCACAGGCCAGGTTCAGTAACAGGAGGTCAATATGTTCAGGAGCAAACAGAAGAAAGGTCAGACAAGCCAGGAATCAGAGCAGGAGACGGTCAACGGATCAGTGTCAGGCAGGGTTGGCAACAAGCAATCTCTCAGGATACAACAGGATAACAGGAGTAAGACCATATGGCACTTGAGCATTGCAAGAGCTGGTCTTAAAAAGAGCGCCCTGCGCTGTCATTGCTGACAAGCGCGCGCCCGTGTGCGTGCGTGAGTGCGCATGCGCTGCCACAATTGCCGCCGCGGGCACCCAGGTGCTAGTGCC